TAGACTTAATAAACGCCATATAAGTAATTATACAATTCTTCTTAAAAGTTATCTTTTAACTAATTATGACATCTTATTAGGATAATATCAATTTCTTATTTGTGTTAAAATGCATTTAAGGAGTATATAACATTGGGTCATGGGTTGAAATAAAACGATTTTTCAGTTATTTCTAATAAGAAGTTAGGCCTTTTAAGTTTCTAATTAGTTCAAGTGAACTCTAGCTTAAAACTTTGACTAAACCGGGTGAAGGTCCTAGGGGCCATTTTATCAATAAATACGGTCGTAACTGAGATCTTATCTTACGACAGATACTGCGATTTCCACATGACCCTTTTATGAACACGCTACGAATCTTAGCTACGATCGGTCGTACGACTGTTGATAAAACGGTACCCAGCAAGTCGGACACAATCCAAGAAACTGAAATATCACATTTACCCGGAAAGTACGAAAAACAAAACAAACAAAAACTACCTCGATTAAGTACCTACGTGTTTCGTCAATATTAATTTAATGTGACCGTTGTAACAAAATACGATTAACAGTTGCGTGTCTTTGGAAGTTAACGGAGAGTCAGTATTAGTGGATCTATAGCCTATAGGGATTCATTAGATCCAAAACTGGCACGGGGACGCCTAAACATTATGCCCCTTACCTTGTTATACATGTATGTTGTTGCGGTTAAATCAAAGGTGCGTGAACACTTGGTGTATTTTATAGGATAATAAATCTAGTATGCTGCTTTGATATTGAATAAGAGCATAAAGACAATTATTGCGGTGCATTTTCCCGGCCTTTCTAGAGCAATCTAAAGCCAAACTGTTATGTGCTTTTAAATGATTGTAAATATATAAAGGAAACATAAAATAGAAAACAAACTAAATTAAACGGAACAAATGTAAACAAAACGATTCTTGTACATTTTTATTTTCAATCCAATTTGACTCATGAAAAATATGTTCCTATTGCATTTCAAAGCCATGAATGTGTTATTGCTTTTTCTTTCAACCAGATGTGTTCTATAACAATTTTCCTTTGGTTAAAAATGTTTCAAATCATCCTTTTTTGCACGACTGTTTTAATGAGTTAAAAAACTACTTAAGACGTTACACGAGCCTATATAGAGCTAAAGGGTCCTTTATAACATTTTTGTATCATTTTGGACCTTTCTTTTGAAAATGTGTCAGAGTTAAATCGTATACATATACATGCACAGTGCGTTAACTGGAGTGCAGGTAATATAGTTACCGGCAAGCCAGAGCATGTCCATTGATTGGTTCATTTTGTCTGGGGTTTACATATTGTGACGACGGGGAAAGGGAAAGCGATAGAAATATCGTATTCAGATGCTCGTTCATTGGTTCCTTTTTTGGGTGCATGTATATGTATAGGATTTAACTCGGACACATTTTCAACAGAATGGTCCCCAAACTATCATACAAGTCGATTTTACACTCTGTGAAAAGATTTCTCTTCACCACCAGTACAGAGTTAGTACACCCAACACATCCGTGCAGTCTGGCCGGGCTCTATACCGATGGTAGCTAATTAATTTGTGTTTATTTTGAAAACCCTTTAGCTTTTGATTGACTGTTATTAATTAAAAATTGCAGCAATTCAGTAATTTGAATAATATAAAATGACAACAAACGTGGGACATTTTTAATCACATTTATTAAACATGTATAATACAGCAAAAAAACGCCGAAAGGACAAAATTACTCTCTAACCATGGCCACCCATTTTCATAAAAAAAACATGCGTAATATAAAGAAACTCCTTTACAATAGATACATGAACATGTTATATAGCATAGTGATGCCAGGTGATAATATGCGTATCCATTCTTGATTTCAATATCAAATTTCCATTGGTTACACCTACAATTGTTTTGCTAAATATTAAAGCGGTAAGTGATACAACTACAAGAATATCAACTTAATTATTATTGTATAACATATCAAAATCACAATTTTATATACAACGATGCTATGCTTTGGTAAAAAGGATATGTTGCTAGTATGTGAGGGCTAAACATCCATTTGTAGAAGTTTTTTTCTGTAATTTGAACCGATTTAAAGTTTTGGATTATTTGGTTAAAATGAATTATTTTTGTCTATGTACATGTATTTCGAAAATGAAGATAAAAAATAAAATAAAATGCTATTCTACCCTCTGAATTGCTTCGATAGATGTCCATTCTCAACTTAAAAAGTTCATTATATGCATGCAGTCACACATTTTGGTTGAGTTTAAAGTTATAGGACGAAGAAAGAAAATGTCCCAACAGGCTCTTAACAAGTAACAATCAATCAAGCAATCTTGGCTCATGATGTTGTAAAATATATACTACACACATTTATATTGGTCAATTAGCAACGTACGAAGGGTACTTCGGTCAAAGTTTATTTAGTTGTCGAATATGTAGATATGTGTTCAATATCCAACATGAAAAATATACAATGAAATGTGTTTGGACTATAAGTAGTCAAGGCTAGAGCTTAATTGAAACAATCTTATATGACGAAAAAATCACAGATGCCTGTCATACGGGCCCACACAACCTAACACACTTTCCTCGTCGTCTCTGTCTACCATGTAGGGCCACTCCCCACCGGCATTAGTCAGGACACCGGCGGCTGATCCACAGGATACATGTTTCAGTTTTCTTTTACAGCGTCCCTAGTTCTCCAAATCTTCTGCCGATGTCGTGTGTCTTTTCTATGACGTGCACGCTCCGAGGGGAAGAGAGAAGAAGAACATCGAGACACGAGGCTATCTTATTTGTTCGCCCAAAAGAAAGGTATCCAAACTATGATACTTGTAAGTCAGGTTTTTATATAAAATGGTATAAATTAAGCTATATTCAAAACGGGTTGCCTGTTCTCAGCAGAATGATTTGTATTGTGACAAATTAAAGAATCATACCAAAGTGTCTACACAATTTTATATTTAAAAGAAATGTACGTTGTTTCTATTCGTAAATATCCGTAAAGGAGAAACGCATGTACATATATCATCTTCCAAAAGAATTTCCACTCTTAGCTTGCGATAGATATTCGTGTCGATTAAAAAAAGACTCGCTTTCTTTTGGGGGATGATCGTGAGGGTATGCAAACAGCTAGTGTGGTAGAACTTCTATCTTCTCATCACGATTCCTATTAATTTAGCTAGTTACATGACTACACACCCTTTTAACGTGACACAATTTTAAGGTAAATATGCTACATGAATGTAAAACAGAACAGAGCATATATTGTTTTTAGACATGCACATAATTATAGAAAAAATGTTTATTTTTAAAACCCGCTTCTAAATTACAACTGCCTGATAAAAGTCTATCAGGACTAAGATACAGGATCGACTGCTGCTACAATCTCCTTCCTCAGGCGGGTGCGCTATTCATTGGGCGTTTCGTCGCTTCCAACTACGCCCTCTAGCCAGGCGATGGTAGGCTTCAGCTATCGCTTCATCTGTCTTGAAGCGGGTACTGCCTAACTATTGGTCATTCGACCCTCCGCTCTTAGCTCTTATTTCTTGCGCCAGATCCAAAATGAGGCTGACTCTGCTTCGTGTGCTATGTTAGATATGGCTTTGTTGCACCAAGACCTCCAACCTCTTTCTTTACAGGTATTCACAAGACCAGTTTCCTCTCATAACTCCCTTCGATTCTTTCTTTCCATAGCACTGTGAGTTCAAGTAGAACAACTTGTTTGCTAGCTGAAGACCATAAAACAATATCCGGTCTTAGTTTGGTCACAGTTATTTCTTCAGGGAACTTGAACAGTTTCTTCTTTAGGTCAACCTTCAAACATTTTACCTTTACTCAAAATATGGTACATTCGTATGTATAATCTCAACGCAAAAAAACTGTGCATAGGAATTTCCATTATTTGGAATTATAGGATGTTTTGTACCATAATTATATTTTCAGTTACCTACAGAATGGTACATTTACATTTCAAAAAGCGGGTTATATAGTCATAGTTGCACGGCGAGGTATACATTTCTGTCAGTAGACACGAACAGCGGTAATGATTACTTTGTGATCTTTTCGGCAGTATCGGCTGGGGATGCCAGGGTGTCGAATTCCCCGTTACTGAACAAATTAAATAATCTCGTTGTATGACAGGAGGAGAGCGGATAGTTCCATTAGATATCACGTGTCCATATATTATATAGATGACGCGGATTTGTGTAATCAAAGTCCGTGATATAGATGCAAACCACCATCTGAAAACAAGTTACAGGGGCTACAGTTATCATGACTCTGTTGGTAAGTGAATAACCTAAATGGTACTAACCATGCTGAACTTTCAGTAAGGTATATCATAAATTTTAGTCAAATTTCCATGCATATACTTTTCTTTGCGTTATAGTCAATTAATACAACACCAGCCTTAATTAACATTTAAATGGATGGGACATACATGTAGCGTTACTTTTTTCGTATAGCATTGTTTGTAACATTAACTTACTATTTAAGATAAGCAAAGTTTCCTTAATGCAAGCCAGGAACGTTTATATTACAAATATCGATATATCTCAAATCAAATCAATTCAAATCAAATTTTATTTATTGTCGGTATATAAATATAACATTTTACAAAACATAAGCTATGTATAGCTTTTGACCGACATAAAACCCTTTTACTTTATTTTACTTTATCCAGCGTAGGGTCGCCAGATCAGAAATCTCTTGTTACCCCCTCAAGGTCTGACACCAAATAATTATTTTCCGGTATGACAGTATTCAATTTGTTTCTCATAACTTTATCAAGTCTGATCAACCATTTAGATTTTATTTTAAATTGCAAATTTTTTAAAGTAGATCTGTTTTATACAAAATTTGTAAGTTAATTTAAAATCGATCTAGTTATTATGCAGCTTCTGTTGTTGATACTGATGATGATGACACAGCTGTAGTTGAAACCGTGATGATGATTATGATGATGACGATATTAAGCTATGTGACTACAACGACGGTAAAGATTATTCGACATTGATTCAGAAATGGCGGCGATTTTTTATTTATTCATACAATAATGACCGTGAAAGGGTAAAAAGCGCACCTACTAGCCCATGACAGGTTTAAAAACTACGTTGATTTTGTAAAGCACTTATTTGCAACAATCTTTACGTATTTGATATCATTTACTTATGAATGTCGTGAATATTTATCTTAAGTTGATGATTGTCACATATTTTCGCTACTTTGCTAAAACGTTGATTTTGTTGCAATATGCTGGATAAGACCTCTATGTATTTTTCAGGAGTAAAACTTGTATACTGAATAATAGAATAAAAAACTGATTGTACCAGTTGCATCTTATATATATTCCTTGTTTTTGACCTCTGGATATATTCCAGGAGGGGGCGTCCGTGGCCGAGTGTTTAAAATCGTTGACTTAAAGTGTTACTCACCTAGATAAGATGAAATATAAGTTTCTCTGTCGCAGGCAAACTTTAGAAGACCCACACTTCGGGAGATGAACCTAGATTCTTCTTGAACGCAAATAACACAGCAGGTTTTAGAGAACGGTAGCAAGACACTTCACCCCCCAGACACTTCACCCCTCAAATTTTGAAAACACTTCACCCCTTAAGACACTTCACCCCCCAAAATAGAGAACAGGAAGAACCAATATGGAAGTGACGTCACTTGGGACTGGTACCCTGCAGTTTTGCGGGTGGACTGGTATCCACACAAAAAACCCATAAATACTTCACTCCTCCCCACTTTATGAGAAGGTTTCGTTAAGAATTTAAACTATGGGAAATCCTTGGTTCTTATCATTGCGTTTTTTAATCTTGCACTATTCTTTTTATCCTGCACCTTTTTTATCTGTGATCTTTATCTTTTAGTATGCACTAATTCTTTTAACACAGTCAGGGCCTTTTTACCTTCTATAACAGGGGCCGGTATAGGGCTGCTTCCCCAAAGAAAATTTCTTTAAAATCATGCAGTTTTCCCCAGAAATTGAATTTACATCAAGTTTTTTCTTCCCCTTTTGCAAATATACCATGTAATTTTCCCCCAAAATTAAGGGCTGGGCTGCTTCCCCAACCAGGGTCTTTCAAATAGAATGGTCTGGAGACAGACCAATTTTACGAAAAATGCTGTCTCGGTTGAGTCACGTGATTGGGTTATCTACCGACCGTGATATGGCATAGCACATCACCATTCAATAAACAAATTACAAGATAATGTTTTGTTAAATCAATAAAAAAATACTAAAAACTAACTCTGACTACATTATATTATCAGTTTTTACTTTAAAAGTAACAATTTTATAGATTTGCAATGAAATTAGAAATTTTTCGTTCCCGGTGTCAAGGTAAAAATCTACTGCTCATATTTGAAGACAGGTCCGAGTTTCATGAGCTTTTTTACATTCATGCATTGTTCAATGACAAAATAGAAATTGATTTTACAGAGAAAAGATGTTATTAAATCGGATCATGTAAAAATATTATAATATTTCACAATGTAATTTGGAAATATTTGATGTTTAGTTTGGTGCATTTTCAAAATGGCGCCGATTATCGGCAAATATTCTGAACAAACAATCTATGTTTTTTAACAAAAATGGCTTTAAAAAACATCATTTCCTGAAATATTTATCCTTTTTTCAAAAGTTTAAAGATTTTTAAATAACGTCATGTCGTTAAAATTTTCATTTTTGCTCTTGTATTTAATATTCGCCCTTTTCTTGAACACTTACATAATTTGTTTATAGCAAACTATACCGATTTATACGAGACATGTATTATTGTAGCGAGAAGGGTTTACATAGCGTGTTTCCAGACCATTCTATTTGAAAGACCCTGCCCCAACCTGTGAAAAAAAGCCCTGACAGTTTTCCTGACAAGCGCCTCCCAGTCATAGTCAGAATTGATTGTTCAGGAGTAACATGTAGATGTAGATGAGGTGTTATCCAGGTTTGGCTATTTTTAGGGATCTTATAGAAATAACATAAAAACCTTGGAACACTATTATTAATTTCTAGGTTTGAAAAAATATTTTAAGAAAAGAAGACTGAACCCAACTGGATTATTGTTAAATCCATTCGGGACACACTATTGACCTTTAACTGAAATATATCCCCAACTACATTACTTATAAATCTACTCGGGGGGGAATCTTATTATCTTTTTTACTGTTATACAATCTTCTCCCATTTTCCAAACTCTGGGAACATATTTCTTCCACAGAGCACCCTCGGATAGTGTCTATTCTAGGATTTGAAAAACAATGGGATTTTTATCGAAAAGTGAGAATTTATTACATTTGTTGGGCTTTTTCCTTCTTTCCCTATGTAAACCCCCCCCCCCCCCCCCTGTCTCTGAAAAAAAGGGGGAATTCTCAAAGATATGGGTAAATCCCCCCATCCCCCTCCTAGAATAGACACTGCTCGGATTTCTGCTACAAGAACGGTGAACCGCAATATCTCCAATATCAATATATCTTGGGGTGTTGGTTAGAAGTCCCTGGAAATACATGTATGGCGAGTCAGTCTCCAAAAGAATGCTATCCCAAGGGATTCACTGGACTGCTTCACGCTGCCCAGTCCCAAGGTTCCTCACTAAGGCAGTTAGGCCAAAGTAGCAATTTGGGAACATCTGGTTCCACTTTATTACGGCCTCGGCACTCCCTGTAAAACAGTGAAGGTGTACCTTTTGCACCGGGGCAGAATTTCTCATTAAGATATCATATCTCTTGAGATAAGCATTTCCATGTTCCCAATCTCTCAGAGAAAGTATGACTGGCATAGAGGACGGGGCTAAAGACAACATTCTGGTGAATACGTGTTCTTGGTAGGACCATGTATTCTCAGGGGTTGTGTAATCCAGTCCAATTTCCCCCATGGCTACGACCCTGGAATTCCTGAGGAGCTGCCTGATATTTTCCAGCAAGCTCCCGTAAAACTGATGAGACTGCTTGGGATGGATTCCTACAGCTATCCCAAAACCTCTTGGAATACGGATCAAACTCAGAGGGGAAGCTGGCTGGGTCATAATACACTGCAAACCCCCCCCCCCCAGTCAAACCACTTGCCCCTCACCGCTGGGGGTTCAAATCCCAACAGGGACTTGGATTCTTTCATGTGAGGAAGCTATCCAGCTATCTTACAGAACGTCGATGGTTCTACTCAGGTGCCCGTTCCTGCCTGAAATAATGCATGGAGGGGCACCTGTGGTCTTCCTCCGCCAGTAAAAGCTGGAACGTCGCGATATGACCTATACTGTTTCGATGTAACGTAAAACCCAATAAAAAATATATATATATATATATATTCCAGCCGATTCTGTTTTGGTCAAATTATTCTGAATTGAGCATGATACATGTTCAAATTGAGAAAATACTGGTGAGCTAATGCTATTTATCTCAATATCTTAAATTCATTAAAGATATATAGATCTATATTCTGTACACATTAAGAAAGTGAGCTGTTGTTCAAACTCAATTGTGTTCATCACAATTTAGATTTTTACATATACATGTATTCAGAATTTTATGTTCCAGATACTCTAAACTCAAAAACAAGTCATGGAATCTCCAGAATATATGGATTCACCAGAGTGTGATGTAAATCCATCACCACCTCCAGAGTTTGCAGACAATCCGGAGCTTTTACAAGCTGAGAGTATCGGAAATACAGCATTTAGCAAACATTGGCTGTTCTCAACCTTGATCAAATTTATTGAGGTTTGTTACTAAGGCTCATTTTTAGCTTGTATGTTTTGAAGAAAAAGTCTAGCTGTTACGATTTGGGTTATTGTTATCAAGCAAAAAATTTTAATGTAGCTTAGTACTTAACCCTTTCCTTCATGAGCATATTGTGAAAAATGGCTGTTTTTATTGAAAAGCCTCCTGTTACAAGTTCAAACTGCTATGAAACTATGAAAAATGCTTCAATACTGATGAAACTTGGCACAAATGTTGACTGGACCATAGCCTTTGTAACAGCATGCTCAATCTTAAATTTCCTGTAACAGGGGGAACGTCTCAAAATTGCCCAAAATAATTATTTTGCATTGTTTTTTTTTTCCATCAAAACTGATTTCAAAGTGCTGCAACTTCTAAATGGATTGAGATAGAGTAAAAGGCTGTTCAGCGTTGGTTACATGTTACCTTTACGATCAATCTGAGGCTATTTTAGCCTGTCACATGTCCTAAATTTTCTTGGCAATGAGGGAGACTAACGCCCCCCTTCAAACCCCCCAAACAGAAGGGATCACTTATTTTAACAACATTTCTCAAATGAAAAAACAGTGTTTGGGGCCTAAATAGGGCATTTTTTCACTGTTTGAGGCCTCAAAAGGGGCGTCGAAAAGCCGTCAAAACACGTCCATATGAGGTAAAGGGTTAAACAACTTTAAAGGTATCAACATGAAACTTGGAATGCTTGAGGCAGTTGTATGATAAGTAGCATTATTTTGAAAGCATTATTGTAAGGAGTCATGCCCCTTTTTTGCTTAGGATATGTTATTATGTAGAATAATTTATAACTATGAAAGATATCAACATAAAACTTGATTATCATGACAATGGACAGTTGTTAAACATAGGGAATTATCCTGAGGTATATATCAATAAAGCAATAATATTTTTAAAAGTCATTGCCCTTAACTGACGAGCGTTAGCGCAGCATGCAGTGCTCTTATATGATTTTTGGGACTGAAATTAGGCCCCACTTCCGTTTGAGGTAAATAGGGCCCTGGTTGCTTACACAGGTGTACAGTGTGACGTCAGCCCAGACCTGTCTACCACCACAGAGCTATATTTAAATGGAGAGGAACTATGACATCATACACTTAAAATCTGTATCCGACAAGGATTTATTATTATCATGCAAGTTCACATTTTTGCGAGATTTTCCAAGACCATGTTCCACAAGAGAAATTTACCAATATACATTTACATGTATGCCCCCGTGTTACCTTAAATTTGTTATTAATCAAAACAAATTGTATAATGAAGTAAAAAAGATTAGGATGTAAATTATTCTCTGTTATGGATGAAAATGTAAACAATATATTGTTATGTGTTTTTTGTAGGAAGTTGATCGTGAAACTGAAGAGGAGAGTAATCTAGCAGTTGATGTGGATGAAGATCTTCAGAATGAGTTGTGTAAACTGTGGGACATGTCCATGAACTCTGTAAGAATTTGATTTATTGTATAATTGTTACCAGTCAGAGATAGAAAATTCCACTTGTCCGCTAGTAATTACGAGAAGAATTTAAAAGAACTCGATGCTGGACGGGTAGAAAAATGTTGCCTGCACATTGAATTGAAAAGCTACTTGTCCCGCAGGACAAGTTACTCTGAAAATATTTTTCAATGCCTGCCAGTGATAGTCTGCTCTTTCTCTATATCCTTAAAACATTTAACATGATAAATTATATACATGCAGTACCATCACAAAACAAAGTCTCATCTATTAAATTCAAAACTACTCGTGTAATTCATTTATAAAATTTTTTTAGGTGTTCTTTAAAGAAAAAACGTTTCTCAGTTACTTTATGGTGATAAAAAAAAAACAGTGATGTTCATGAGGATTGCAAACTGTTAAGTTTATGGGGTATGTAAACTGGAATGTTTATAAGAAAAACAACCTGTAATGTTCAGTGTATATTGGTGATAAAGTAGATTTTTATTTTCTAAGCCTCTTATATTTTCTCTGTATGCAGGATGTTGCCATGTTCTTGAACGAGTTTAAGGCTGTAGATATACTGACCGGGATTATAGAGAAGTCCAAGGCTCCAAGAGTTATCGTAAGTCTACGTGTACATTATTTCTGTCAACAACTTGATTTTAGTATCTAGTAATTATGCTATTTTGACTGTGATTTGAGAATTTTTCCTAGCTCAAGAGAAAAATATCTAGGTTCCTGCATAATAAATTCCCGCTACCTCAGACAGTTTATATTAAAGATTGTGTATTCATTTATTTCACAGGAAATATTCTGAAGAAATATATTATCTAATTAATTTCATAAAAAATATTCTGTGGGATTTCTTATTTGATTTCACATAAAATATTTCACAGGAATCTTATTTGATTTATGTCACAGAAATATTTTGAAGGTAACTAATATTTTAATTATTTCACAGGAAATTTTCTGTAGGAAACTAATATTTGAATTATTTCACAGGAAATATTCTGTAGGAAACTAAAAGTTGAAATATTTCACAGGAAATATCTGTATGTAACTAATGCTTGAGTTATTTCAAAGGAAATATCTGTAACTAATTTATATTTGAATTATTTAACAGGAAATATCTGTAGGCATTTTAGGAAATATGGCGTGTGAAGCAGCAGTATGTAAAGAAATGGCAGATAATCAAAAATTTATGTAAGTACTGTTTGAAACATTCATCAAATATTTTGAAAAAAAAATATCATTTGTATAAATGAGAGAAGAAATATGACCATATATGCTTTCAGATAGAATTAAAAAGCAGCTGCTTTAAGAGGTCAAAGCTCTAGTAAAATGTAAGTTGCAGGCACCTGTTTAAGTATCAAAGAGTCACTGCTATACCAGCTAGCTTACAGAATGTCGGTAGTTCTACTCAGGTGCATGAAATAATGCGTGGTTGAGCACCTTAGGTTTTCCTCCACCAGTAAAGCTGGAACGTCACCTTATGATGACCAGTACAGAATTGATGCGATTAATCCCCACCTCCCACCCCTGCACAGATGTGCAGACTGGCCTGGCTGTATACTGGTGGCAAATGCTAATCACTTTTAGATTCAGAAGGTTTATGGTTAACTTTATTATTTCTATTTCAGAGATTTAGTTATACTTATGATGGAGACAAGAGACGTTCCAACTTTGGTAGAGAATACAAGGTAAAAAAAGTATAGGGTCTTCATTATAATTTTTGTTAGCTTGACTTTTTGGAATAAAAGAGAGCTATTGCTAGCTACAGTACAGTTATGTTGTTGTTGCTGATGCCGTCAGAAAACATTGGCATTGCTTATAACTTTTTTTATTTCTCACTGGATTGCCTTCTGAGTTGGACACAACAATTGTTTGGACAAGACTTTCAAGTTGACCAGACTTAACTTGAACTTCACTCATAAATGATCTTGATTTTTAAGGTCAAATATTTGAATTTTGCTTAATTTTATCTATAATTGGCTATATTTTGGAAACTTAAGACATGATCATCCTTAGAACAATGCCTTTATGTAGGCTAAATGAATTATGACCTTCACTCAGCAGTGGCATTGACCTTGAAGGTCAATAAGTGAATTTTGCTTGAGTTTTTGGTTATATCTTTGTTAATTTTAAATGGAATGTCTTCATACTTGAGCACATCTACTGTAAGGACAATGTCTTAGAATAGATCAAACCCAAGTGACCTTGACTCCTAAATGACCTTGACCTTGAAGGTCAATTTTACAGTTTTTTTGTGTGCTTTAATTGGCAACTTTGTAAGTAATATATGGATTCTTTTCATACTTGGGCACAACAGTCTTTGGAACAAGACATAAAAGTTGTTCGATGAATAGGAAGCAAATTTCTTCTCTTTTTCTGTCAGTCAGACACTAATTCATACATCTTAGCTGAGCTTCAAAATGTAACTCAATACATGAATACTACACTGAACAAAAGTTCTAACCGATCACCCTGAGTTTTCGCTTATTTATGAAAAAGAATAATACCAATAGATCCGACTTTTATTAGCTCACCTGTCACAAAGTGACAAGGTGAGCTTTTGTGATCGCTTTTCGTCCGGCGTCCGTAAACTTTTACTTTAAATGACACCTCCTCATAAACCACTAAGCCAATTTCATCCAAACTTCACAGGAATGTTCCTTTGGTGGTCACCTTTAAAAATTGTTCAAAGAATTTAATTCCATGCAGAACTCTGGTTGCCATGGCAACCGAAAGAAAAAACTTTAAATTTCTTTTTTTAAAAAACCCAAAGAGCAAGAGCTTAGATATTTGGTATGAAGCATCTTCTATTGAGTGTCTACCAAGTTTGTTCAAATAAAAGCCCTGGGGTCAAAATTGGCCCCGCCCCAGGGGGTCATTGATTTTCCCTATATGCATATAGTAAAAATTTTAAATATCTTCTTTTAAAGAACTCAAAGAGCTAGAGCTAAGATATTTAGCATAAAACATGTTCTAATGGGTGTCTACCAAGTTTCTTCAAATAAATGCCCTGGGGTGAAAATTGGCCCCGCCCCGGAGGTCATTGATTTTCCTTATATGTGTATAGCAAAAACTTCAAAAATCTTCTATGAAAAAACCCAAATAGCTAGAGTTTAGGTATTAAGCACGAAACATCTTCTAGTGAGTGTCTACAAAGTTCGTTCAAATAAAAGTCCTGGGGTCAAAATTGGCCCCGCCCCGGGTGTCATTGATTTTCCTTATATGTGTATAGCAAAAACTTAAAAATCTTCTTTGAAAAAACCCAAATAGCTAGAGTTTAGATATTAAGCATGAAACATCTTCTAGTAAGTGTCTACAAAGTTTGTTCAAATATAAGCCCTAGGATCATAACTGTCCCCGCCCTTGGTGTGTCATTGTTTTTAGATATATTTGTATAGTAAAAACATAAAAAATCTTCTTTGAAAAAACCCAATGAGCTAGAGCTTAGATATTTAGCATGAAACATCTTCTTATGGGTGTCTACCAAGTTTGTTCAAATAAAAGCCCTTGGGTTAAAATTGGCCCTGCCGGGGGGGGGGGGGGGCAGGTAATTGTTTTTCATTATATGTGTGTAGTAAAAACTAAACAACATGAAACATCTTCTAATGGGTGTCTTCCAAGTTTTTTTTTTTTCAAATAAAAGCCCTAGGGTTTAAACTGGCCCTGCTGCGGGGGCCACTATACAGGTGAGCGACCTCAGGGCCATCATGGCCCTCTTGTTTGTGATTTATTATAGGTTAATCTATACATCGCTGTCTAACACTGTAACAAGGGGACCTTGGATAAGAGCTATACAGAGGTCAGAAGATATTCTAGATCATCTTAAGTTTATATTCTCAAGCTCAACAAACTGTAAGTTGATAAAATCTGTGTTTAATTATTATGAAATTATACCGTAGAAAATTAAGTGCGAGGCCCTTTATGGAACTTTTCAAGGAATGGCACAAACTTGTCACATTGAAGGTTCAATAATTATTTCCATATTAACACATATGTGAATGGTTTTAAATTTCAGATTTCACCATTTTCATGTTTAATACTGAGTTCTGCCAAAGCCAGTGCTAGGGTTTGTGGTCTGTTCCTTGCAATAACCAATACCTGCCATGTCCAGGCTAAATCAAACCGATCCTGTAATTTTGCCATTTTGGGCATTCTTTAGGGCTATTTTATAAGAACTGTACAGGGATGTTTGAGTTTTGTTTCTTGTAAATTTACTAGGATTTGGTACACATTGCAGCACACATATTGTCGCATGTTGTCTATGCTTGTTGAGAAACAGTTTTAATAGGATATAACATTTTTGCATATCAGATACTGTTTTGTTTACATAGGTGACCTGTTGAAGAATACTGCAGAACTAGTTGACACATTGCTTGACTGTGAACCTGACCTTTGTGTTTCCTGGGCAACCATTGACTTCGTACATTCATTGATTGAAGCCACAGAACAGATAGGGTGAGTTATGTCCCATTAAGATTTAAAAGAAAAATTGAATGTTCTAAACTTTGATGAAAATTGTAAACTTTTTCTTGTATTTGGAGAAGTATCTAAACAAAGCATAAAAGTACTGCTCTCTGAATAATCAACTTTTTGGTCTCATATCTTCATTCTCCACGCACAATCAATGTCCTTTTGGAAACCACAATAGATGTTTGATTTTCACATCTTTAAAGTTATGGGAAATCATGCTAGGTGTTTTGACTGCTAAGATAATGTTGACCAAAAAATATGTTTAAAAACCAGAAAAAACAAACGGACAAACAGTGTTTTGAAAGTGTTGTGGTTCTACACAAGTTCCCACTTGTTACTAACATACTAAAGAGAGGATGCCTCTAGTCTTCTAAAGATTTTCCAGCGACACCAAAATGTGACTATAACAGAAAATGCAAAACACATATCACTGTACAGTATCTTGAAGCAAAATTTTTAATTTTTCTGTATCTGGAAGCAACATTTTTAATTTTTCTGATATGGTTAATTTTTGTTAAATTTAATTTTGTTGATAAATTTTGTTTATTATACAGGAGTAACCATAGTGATGCCCTTGAGGTTTATCTACATATTCTCCAGAGTTTCTCCACCACAGAGTCAGGGGTTGAAGCACTAGGTTTGTAAAATTTGAGATATTACAGGTTTTTTGTTCATATAAACCATTATGCATACATGTACCTTTGATAGTGTAAAGTATATTGAATTAAACCCTTGTAACAATTGTACTTGCTTTTAATAACATTTTATTGAGACAAAAATGTTCATACTTAAAGGACAAAAAAGTGCTTCCATGCTTAAGAAGGGGCCTCTGTGGCCAGAAATATGATTGTTGATTCAAATTGTTTCTCGAAAAGGAATATCTTCATGTGAGAAAGATATCCAGCAGGTATATAGGAGATTGATGGTTCAACTTGGTTTGTGTTTTGTACCTGTCATCAGATGGGCATGTGTAAACTTTGTGCTAGTTTTTGAAGTGTAAAGATTAAAAATTGCAATTTTACCTGAACCCGTTCAGTGTGATCTGGGTTCTTAAATTTGTAGACTGTCTACTTTTTCCATAAAATAAAATGTAAATAATGTGATGGAAAATAATCTTGCAGCAGACGATATGAAAATTGGTTGCATCTTAAATGCGTGTATCAACCTATCCACGAAAACCACAATATTTATTACCCCATGAATAATAATGGTTTTGCAGTAAATTTTTGGATTTTCAAAAGGAAAGATGTTTATTCAGTATACATGTAGCTGTGTCTACAGATTTGGTTAGACTGCATAAAGCAGAGGCTTTTTTTTGGCTCTGCACATTGACCCATTATTTCCAAAGGCCAATATATATTCACATTATCTATCATTATTTTCAGTTGCTCACACGGAGAAGTTGGAAAAGAAGATAATAAAGTATTTGAACATAGTTTGTGAGTATGAGATAGTGGGTCTAGGGGGAAAGGAAGCGCCCCTGGCATCAGCCCTGTCAGTATTAAATATTCTGCTCATGTCACAATCAGAAGAGAAGCAAGGACATCTGTTCAAAAGTAAGAGACATTGCATAATGATTATACAAGGTTAGGTAAACCTGGTATTGAAAACTGACATGGCCATATTTCGATTTGACTTCACCATTTTAATGAAAATATCTTGAAAAAAAGGTTTTCTCAGCAAGCGTGTCTTTCATTCAGGTTACACATTCTCACTTGTCCAATCAAAATGCAGGTAATGTAAACACTAAGACATGTTGTTTAAAAATGAAAGACAAACCACAACTAGTTTACTCTCTTAGGTCATTAAGTTAGGCGTCTTTCAGTGTAGCATAATGTTGTTTTTTAAGTATACCCTATAGAAAATTAATGTTAACATCAAATAAAAAGTAATTGGATCGCAAATCAATATTCAAGAATTAAATCGTGAGAAAACTGAATCATTGCACCCCTATGTACCATAATAAAGTTCATAAATTTATGGTGTAACACACCTTCCATTATGGGCCATTGCTCTTAAATAAGCACCTTGTTGTTTTTCTCTTTCATCAGATGAGACAATTATTCGAATTTTACTGAAGATTCTGGAACCTCTTTACCCCATGCTTCAAAAGTACAGGGAGTCGCAACAGACAGATTCAAATGAGCCAATCAGTAGACAGGAAGATAGTCAGGTGACTGGTAATGACCAATCAGAGGCCAAAACTGAGACTGATTCAAGTAATAATGCAAATGAGTCCAAAGAACCTGAAGAAAAGGACAAAAATGATGCCAAAGGAACAGAATTAGAAGAAGAGGAGTTTACAGAACTTAAAATTTTATATGATATTCTGGCAGCATTTTTATTGGATTACTGCAATATTGCTTTCACTGTAAGTCTTGTCAAAATTGTTATAAATTTTGGTACCTACTAGAAAGTTTTTATCATCATTTACCTTTAGAGTGTTTTTGTCGATAATGAAAAACCTATGCTACAGAAAGGCCTAACTATACTGCTATTTCCTCAATATCACCTCAATATTGACATGGCTCCAGGTGTGTTGCTAAATTTTAGAATTATGATATTAATTTCCCTTAAATCACTGTTAGACTTTTCCTAATAAAAACATGGCAAGTTCATAGCATGAATTAGTTAACTTATTAACAAAGTCTCTCTATGTCAATTTGGATGATTTTACATAACAATTTAATATTTTTCTTGTCTAAATGATGAAAAACCAAAAACATTTCACCATATTATCAAAAATGAAATTAAAGGAGGCTAGGTGAGGACAGCTGTTAAATTTACATATATCACATACCCGTGCAGCTTTTAGGACTCTGTAAAAATGGTAAAGCATTGCTGTGTGTGTGTGTATATATATGTTAATCTGACAGCATTTCCATTATTCAAAGTGTAAAAGCCCGCATAATGTTAGCATTACACTATAGCAGCTTCAATGAAAAAGTGTTTATATTTACTGTAAACTTTTCCTTCTGGCGTATCAGATAAATAGAATATTATATAGCTATAGGTTCATTATTAAATTTATTGAATTGGTTGACCGAACAGAGGCTTGCATAATGTAATCATATTGAACTAATTCAATAAATTATTAGTATTGAAGTATCACTCATTCAGTATCCTCAATTAATTGCACAATTCATTATTTCATTTACAGGATACATCAGGCACATATAATGATGAGTCTCCACCGAGTGATAAAGCAGCAGATTCTGAAAATGTTGAAAGTCAAAATGACCAAAAATGTTCACAAACTACTGCAGACGACAGTGTACCGACCGCAAAAGATAATTCTCAGGAATGTCCCAAGGGGAGTAACTCAAATGTTCCTGAATGTAACCAAAAAAATTACAGTAACAAAGAATCTGAAGAAAGACACGGCAGCAATGACAATCGTGAAAATACAAACAATGAAAGTAGTTCCGAAAATGGAACGTCCATTAACTGTGCTTGTATTCTTACATATTTGGACGAAGTGTGCAGCCGTTGGAGACTGAATAGTTTTGGTCAATGTTTGAAAGAATCGGACACTGGTTGTAAATTGTATGACCAACTGTTTAGTTTGGCGATGAAATTTAAAAAGGACAGACTGTGTCGAGTATTGACAGACATTTCAGAGGGACGAATTGTTAATAGGGCGGAATCCAATATAGAAAATGCTGAGAAAAGGGATGTTTAGCTGAACGTTTATACATATCTGTTTGATATACCTGTACCTTTTTTTTGTGGTTATAATTGATATACAACTATATTTTGTATAGGAAATTATAGATCTCTGTTAATATTTTCTTTAATGAAATAAGTATATATTTTGAATACAAAGTTATTAAAATAGTCTTCATGGTGAAGGGTATCTTATTTTACCAAATTTAAATGGTGCATGTATGTGTTTAGTATTGTATCAGAAATCATCGGAGGGAAAAATGTTTTTAACTGAAGTAAAATTTAACTTTCATGGACTTCACAGAGTCACCAAAGCCAGTTTTACAAAAGAAATATGGTCATGACTCCCAATAATGTTTGAAACTATGATCCCTAGGTTGAGGGGCAAACATTTATACCACTGTATTACCCTCTTAGTATAGCGCGGAGGAAGGTAGTCTAGTACTGGTGTAACTCTCCAGGAACTATGGTTAGGAAACTACCCGCTTATATGAATGAAATATTGTTGGAAAATGGCGTAAAATGAAAAAAAACCCTCTTAAAAATTATCTGGGACTTAAGATAAGAAATTATCAACGTTACAGTTTGTACAGACAAGTCATGTTTTTTTGTGTGTGTACAAATGTATTACTAATATTTGAGTTTTAATGACACCCGTATGACCTACATGTAAATAGCTTTTACAAGGGATAATTTATGGACTTATCATAACAGTGTTGATGTATCATGACTTCAGAAATCATATGGGATTAGTAGTGGGTTGTATGAGGAGAAATTGGTAATTACTGGTTAGTTATCCAGAAAGCCAGGTGACTTGACCATCAAGATATAACCCAAAATGTGTCAAAATCAGTGTAAAATCTGTGTAAAAACCAAACGGACAAACACTACTAAGTGGATACACCATCACAAGTATAACGGAATGTAAACAGGAGTGCTAAACCCTAGAATTCTCGAATGAGTATGGATTTGCCCAGCTTTGGAATTGGAACAGTTCAATGAAAATTAAAGGGATTTGAATACATAAATTATACTTGTTTCCCACAGAAAAGGCAAGTTTAAGGAAGGGTTCAGCGTCAATGGCAAGTTATTGTTGAAGAGTTTTAGAAACAAAGCGCATGCACATGGAATATACAAACTGTAAAAATTTTTAAAGACTTGAATTTCGCCATGACTTTTTTAAAATTTTTAAAGGGTTTAAAACTAAA